GCAGACGGTGACGTGGAGGCCGAGCCTGAGGCTGGCCAGGGCTCTCCGAGGCGCAGCCTTCCACAGAGACCCCACTCCACTTCTCCCCGGGCCCCCTGCGCCCCCAGCCGCCCTCTCCCTTGCCAGGGTCCTGGGGTTTGGGAGTGAGGTCCCTCCCGTCAGGGGGGAAGTCAGACTCAGTGGCTCTCCAGGGACAGGGCCAGGGCCACAAAATTGGGCACCTAGTGCCCGGCGGTTCTCCACCCCTCTGCAGCCCAGCCAGTCTCTAAACCAAGGTTAGTCCCTGCCCTGATCCAGTGCCATCTCCCCTGGCCGGCTGCAGTGGGGCACTGGGGTGGGCCAGGTCCCCGAAGTCCAGCCCCTTCCCCTGCCACCCTCTTTCCCCATCTCAACTGGGGCTCCAGGGTCCCCCTCCTGGGTGCCCTTGCCGGGTTCTGATGCTCAAGCAACTTGTCTTCTCTCCACACATAGTCGGACAGGGGATAAGAAGCCACTTGGGGGGAGGTATTGGCCGAGGGCCAGTGGGGGCACACTCCAGGCACTGAGTGCCTTACACTGCAGCCTCACCACCCCAGCTGGCTTACGGGGCCTCTCGCCCCAATTGAGACCCCTGTGCTCCCCTACCCCACCTTGCCTCACCACTACACAGGGCAGCCTGAGCAGGGGCGAGGAGCAGGTGGAGGGAAGATTGGGGGGGGGGGCTGGAGCGCCCTGGGGAGAAGGGTGGGGGAGGCTGGGAGGGAGGAGGGGGGCAGGGCTCCAGCAGACCCTCCACATCCCGTGCCTCCCACTTGCTCATTCACACAAGCTCTCAGGCCACTCACCATAGGCCCAAACCTGTTCTGCCCCTAGGGGACAGAAAGTCCCCTCCCCCACCAAACCCAGTCCCTGACCGCAGGGAGTTTTCATTCCTGGAAGCAAAGCCAGTTGGGATTTACAAAGAGGGAGGTCGAGGCAGGCTGTGCAGAAGGGCTGGGATCTCCTCTGGCACAAGATGGCCCATTCCATGGCTCGTCCTTTGTCAGGCTGGTGGCTCTGGAAGGAGCGGCCTTGCCTGTCTTGTGGGCCACTATGAACTCAGGGTCTGCATCATTGTACCAGCAGGCAGTGGGCCCAGGGATACTTGTTGAGCAGGGACATAAAGAAGCCAGAAAGATGGAGGAAAAGGGAAAATGAGTGAGGAAGAGCCAGAGGGAGGCCCCTCCGCCCCGGGAGACACGGGAACCGTGCAGGACAAGGCTTCTCATCTGGATTTCATGGTGATCCTAACAGTGAGCTGTGGTCACCTCCATCTAAACATGGTACCCTGAGGAAGGGGCTCAACTCACTCGTCACTCAGGAAGTGACGGACGGGGAGGTTTAAGGCCAGATCTGACTCCCGAGCTGGGGCATCCCTCTCCCCTAACAGGCTACTTCCTGGGAACTGGGGGGCTGCCTCTGTGCTGGGACTGGGTGGCTCTTGCTGGCTCCACGACGCCTCTTTGTGACCCCTAGGCCTCCATGTCTGAGGCCCATCGTCATGTTCACTCCTTGTTAAGGACACTGAGCCTCTGGCCGGTGTCTTTATGGACAAAGTGACACCATAAACTAGTCACCCACTGACGGCATGGGCTGGGACCGACTCAGTCCCTCTGCCTGGCACCCAGACCTGGTGGTGTGAAGTTGTGACATGGAGAACGTGAGCCGAGTACCCAGGAGGAATACCAGGATGATTTTTCCTTCTGAAAGAAGAAATAGCACCACAGGACTAGAACTCTGTGGGGGACAGAGCAGCTGGTGGTGAAATCCTCCCCAGGGCAATCTTCCAACCCATTTTGCAGATGAGGAAACCGTGCTGTAGGAAGACAGAGGGCCTTGTCCACAGCGTGAGTTTGGTTCCCCTGGGTCTTGACCTGCGTCCTCTGGACTGCCACTGGCCCTGTGGCCCAGGCTCCTTCTTCAGAGAGGGTGTCCTGCTGCCCACTGCGGCCTCGGGAGAATCCCAGCTTCCCTGCAGAGCAGGTGACAGGTGGTCACGACTCTGTCCCCCTCTGGTGCTGCCACCTGACAGACCGGCTCTCCTGTGGTTAAAATTAGTCCAGCGGAGACCGAGGGTCGGCTCCAGGCCTCGCTGGTCCCTGCGGGAGGACGAGGGCAAGTACTTAGCCTCGCTGCGCCTTCTTTTCCTCTTCTGAGAAGGAGGGATAAAAATAACCCTTACCACACAGAGGGACGGACACAAGTGGGTCACACAGGCTGGGGATGAGGGATGCCCTAGCGCTTTCTGCACAGGGTTAGAGAGAACCCCTGGGGTGGGGGAACCAAAGCCTGTGGCCCAGTGTTTGTCACACAGTGGGAACGGCCACCAGCGCTACCACCCTTAGTTCAGAGACTCTAAGGAAATCAGCCCTTTCATTCTGAGGTATTTGGTGTTAGGAGAGATGACTAGAGACGGGCGTCTGGGGCTGATTCCTCCTCTGTGGACTTGCTGTGTGACCTTAGGTGAATCATCAGTCTCTCTGGGCCTTCATTTCCACCCCTCCCTCCACTCACTGGCTTGCCCCTGGGTCCCTCTCTCCCTGCCTTCCCACTTCCTCCCTTTCTTCCTTCCATGCATCTACTGATCTATTCATCCATCCATCTGTTTATCTATGTGTCCGTCTGTCCATCTGTCCATCCATCATCCCTCTCTTCTTCCTTCTACCCATCCACCTATCTATCCACCCACCCACCCATCCACCAGTCCATCCGTCTACCAATTTCACTGGAGCTTGTGTTGCTTGCTGAGAGGCCCCTCCATGCCAAACTCTGCCCCGGGGTCACGGGTGCATCAGATTCCACCTCTTGCTCCCTAGGGCTGGCCGTCTAGTGAAGTCTGACCCCACAAGGACCCAGATTCCTTTTATTATTCATGTCCAATGCCAGTTAGCCCAGTGGTTAAAAGTCTGGGCTTTGAAACCCAGCAGACCTCACCTTGTATGGTTTCTCTCCTAGTCACAGCTGTGTGACCCTGAATGACTGACTTAACCTCTCTGAGACAATTCCGATGAATCGTCCTGTAGGATCAAGTGAGATAATCAGTATCAGCACTTAGGAGAATGCACACAGCATCTGGTATACCCTCCATCCATCCTTTCACCAAATGTTTCTTGAGCATCTTCCACGTACCAGGCACCAGGGACACAGGAGTGAGCCCACTGCTCCCTGGAGCTGAGCTGGGACGGGTGGGGGATGGGCAGCACCATGTTTAATGAGCAAGACCTCTAAGTTCTGTGACCAGGGAAGAACAGGGTGATCTAAGGAACCCCAGGGGACACGGGAGCCGAGGAGTGAAGGGTGGACAGAGCCAGGTGCGGGCGTGTGCCCAGGGAGAGGCCAGCAGGGAGTCTGCAGTTAGGATGGCCACGGTCCCCGGGCTCTGGAGGCCATTTCCCTGTCAACACAGATCACGACCATCCAGGGGCTGGTGGCCGTCAGACACCCTGTCCTCAGGGGCTCCTCTTCCCACCCAGCAGGTCTGCCCTGCCAGACCCAGCCAGGCAGCTCCCCGGGGAACCTGTGGCCACTGAGAAGTGGCCCGTCACCCGGTGGGGGTGGGGGAAATAAATGAGATTCAAGAGGACACCTGGAGAGAGGGCGGGGTGGACGGGGAGGCCAAGACAGAGGCCCAGGACAGTGAAGCAGGCGGCTTGCCACCCTGGGGCTGGAGGGGCGGACAGGGAGCGCCCGCCATCTCATCTTGATCTGGTCTTTGTCACTTGCTGGTCAGCGCTGCGGGGAGCCGGGGTCTCTGGCCAGACCCTGAGAGGGGATGCTCAGCTCCCTCCGGGCACCTGGAAGGGAGCAACTGCGTCCCTGTGGGTTCCCTGGGAAATGCCCCTTCTCTCCCTACTGCCCGCCCTGGCCCTTGTGCTGGTAGATTCCCTGGCGGGGTGCAGGGTGGGGGTGCCTTTGTGCTCAAACTGAAAGTTCACAGAATACAAAGAGGGCCGGCCCGCAGCTTGGAATTGCACGCCCCAGAGACAGGGGGAGGGGGAGCCACTGTGAAGTCCCTGAGGCAGGGACAAACATCCAGGGTCCAAGTTCCTGCAGTGGCAGCGGGGAGACTGTCCTGACTCAGGGTTCCATGCTTGGGGTTCAGAGGTGGGGAAAAAATCAGTTAGACACCGTGTGTATTTATGTGCTCTGTTGTCATTGAAACCAGGGGGCGACCTTTGTCAGGCCCTCGAGAGCTGCCCCCGGCAGCACAGATCCGGGGATCTGCAGACCTCTGTCCATCTGTGGGCTGCACCTCTGCAGGTTTGGGTCCCCCAGGTGCATCTGGGCCCTTTGAGTCCATGGAGTTCATCTGGAGTCGGACAGGCCTGGACGTGACTCGGTGCCCCTTTCTGGCTAAGTAACGTGTAATCCTCGATCTCCTTGTTTGTACAATGTGAATAACATTTGCAACTACTTCAAAGGGTTATTTTGGGGAGAAAAATTAAAAAAGGAAGGTGTGTGTTCAGTGCTGACTTGAGCTCCCGGTGGGTAGTGGATAGGTGCTCAATTAACGGGAGCAATTACAATGTGTCATGTGATTGCAAGTTAAAAAAAACAGAACACACCTGCTATGAAAGCTCTTCTCTCCTAGGGTTTATTAAGTATCTTCGTGTATAGCCACAGCCAGGAGAAAGCCCAGCTGGGGCTAAAGGGACCAAATAAGTTAAACTTCCAGCCCCGTCAGGGACTCAGTCAATCTAGCCCATTTTTCATGTGGCTTGCTTCCTGCGGAATTAACCGAGACAGCGCTGTTCTGTTCAATTCCAGAAACATTCTTTAGCCCCTCGCCTTTCTCTCAGACCTTGCCACTCTCTTCCATATGGAATTCCGAACAGGCCAGGCAGTGTGTGTGTGTGTGGGGGGGGTCCCTGCTAATCAACGTCCAATCCTTCTTCCCAGCTTCCCAGCCAAAGCCCAGATTCTGTGTCCAGGAGGACAGAAGAGGGAGGGCTAAGAGGACAAATGTCTGTGGACCTCCTGAGGCTCAAAGGGAGAAGCCTCAGACCAAAAAGCACGATGTCTAGGGTTTTCCATGATCCCACACCATTTTCAATCCCCACCCCAAAGGGAGCACTGCCCAGCACCAGCAGAACAGAAGCCAAGAAATTTCCCCTTAGAGATTCTGGCGTGGGCTGAAGTTCAAGAGCCCAATGCACAGCGGGTAGAGGGTAAGAAGTCTAGAGCTTCCCCTGCTGACTCCTGTGTGAATTCTGTAAGCCCCCTTGCCCTCTCTGATCCTTAATTCACCATTTCAAAAAGTGGAATAATTAGAAAAAACAATCTCCTTAGTTCTGCAATTCAGTGATGGTGTCAGCTTCATGCCTAAGAGACGGGTTCTCTAGAGCAGCCCACGGGGAGTAAAAGGGAACATTTTTATGCAGCTGCTTAGAGTTCACCATTTGCGAATTCACTGAATCCTCACAAACACCTGGAGAGGTTATTATTATAATTATAACCCAAACTCCAAGCCTCGCCTTGGGTCTCTCCAGACCCGGCTTCTCTTTTTGGTTTGAATTTTCCCTGTAGCTCCCTTTATGACGCTCCAGCTGCAAATTCTCACTCGGAGACCCTCCAGGACCTCTCTTCTTGTCCTGCCTGGAAAGTGCCCCTCACCCTTGGCACATAAGCAGCCGGCCCCTTCCTAGTCCCTCTGTGGTCCGCCGGCATGCACACAGGACTCCCTCAGTTTTAAACCTTTCTTAGCACAGAAAACGATCTAAAATTGTCGCTCCTGTTTATTTGCGTGCTCGCGGTGTATTCTCTGTGTCTTCCCCGGGTTCCAAGCAGAGTGAATCCCAGGACCTTTTGCAGCCGGCTCACAGGCGGGGCTCAGTGAAGCCTCCTTCAATTCTGAGCAAATCCGTGAACCTAGGACGCACTTTGCAGGTGGAATTGGCCCCCGTCACCCGTCAGGAAGGGCATAACCCAGGGCTCTCCAGCCCAGGGCTGCGTGACCTCGGGCGGGGGACCCTGGCCACGGGGCCAGACCTCCTGGCAGATCAGGGAACAGGGGATGGTTGCAGCAGGAGATCCTGAACCCGCGGGAGTCCCCAGCTGGGGACGTGATCCAAGTGCCAACCTCTCCCAATGCCTGGGAGCACTTCAAGTCATCTCAGGTGCCATCAAAGCCCTGCTGTTCCCCAGCCCGTCACCGCCATCCCCACCTATTAAAATAACACTATGGGAAACAAACAGCCTCCCGTACCCTTCAGCCAGCCAGCCTGCCGTTTGTTTCTCCTGCCGTTGCCATGGCGCTGATGATCTCGGGACTGCTTCGGGTTCCTGCATCCTGGAAGGGAATGGAATGAAATTGCCGGGGGAAATTGTCAGACAAAGGTTTTTCCTTCCGCAGATGTCCCACACCCCTGCACTCCTTGGCGGCCACACCCTGAAGCCTTATGCATGGGATCAAGGCTGCCCCTTGACCTACAGCCTTCCATGGCTCCCCAGTACCCCTATGATGAAGGCCACAGGCCTTACCGTGGCTGTCAGCAGCGTGTTGGCTTCCTCTCCTGCCACGGGGACCTGTCCCTCCTTCTGCCCCTTCCTCTGGATATCTCAGGCTGTCGCACATCTGCTCCTGGTATGGGGGCACGGGAGCGACTCCTTTTTCCTCTCACTTCTCTGCCAGGAAAATGGCTACTTACTTTTGATAAGTGTTGGCTTAGGTGTGGCCTGGCAACCTCTTCTTCCTCACCCAATTTTTTGGAAGGGGTACTGGGGACTGAACTCAGGGGCCCTCGACCACATCCCCAGCCCCCTTTGGTGTTTTATTTAGAGACAGGGTCTCACTGTGTTACTTAGGGCCTCACTTTTGCTGAGGCTGGCTTGGAACTCGCCATCCTCTTGCCTCAGCCTCCTTAGCTGCTGGGATGACAGGAGTGTGTCACCGTGCCCAGCTCACCCGTCCATCGCCTCCATTCCTCAGGACCCGAAGTGAGGCAGAACATCATGGCGAAGGCGGGGGCCAGAGGAAAGCAGCTCAGGACATGGTGGGCAGGCAACAGAGATCTGCTCACCAGGGACAAAATATGAACCCCAAGGCAGTCTCCAGTGACCTCTTTCCTCCTGCCTATAGTTACTGCCCAGTTAATCCACATTAGTGGATTAATCCACCAATTAGTTTATACCTCTCATAACCCAATCATTTCATCATTCTTCCATTGCTTCCCAGAGGAGCTTTGGGGGACGTTCATACCTAAACCCTAACACCCATCTTTATTGGGGTGAGCTGCCTTTTCTCCTCACTCCCATGACTGGCCCCCTGCAACCCTGTCTCCAAACTACTTGAGGACAGGAACAGTCTTGTCCAGTGTCCAACAATGTGCCTGGAACGCACAATGTGCCTTGTCTCTTGGCATTCATAGGGGTCGGTTCCAGGAATCCCCTTCCCTACCCAAATCCTCCTTGTTCAAGTCCCTTGCATTTGCATAGTGTTTGCATATAATTTGCATACCTCCGTATTTGCATACCTTCTCATTTGCATAGAACCTGCGCCCATCCTCCCATGTACTTCATACCCTCTCCAGATGCCTGGTAACACCTGATACAATGTAAAGGTTAATGCTGCATTATTCAGGGAATAATGACAAGGAAAAGTCTGCAAGGAAAAGTGTTCATTACACATGCATTTTTTTTCCCCAAATATTTACCATCTACAGTTGGTTGAATCTGGGGATGTGGAACTCACCAGTGTGAAGGCCAGCCCCAGGGACTGAGCAAACCCTTGTCAGTCCATGTTAGAGGACAATCAGCTGCTCTGAGAGGCGGCCTCAGGGGTGGGCATCCGGGTGTGTCGCGTTCTCCCGGGAGAGCTGTAGGGGCTCTCGGGAGCGCCCTGAGCAGGGCTTCCCAGGCTGGCTCTGGGAAACCTGATGCCCAAGGACACCCAAGTTTACTCAGTGGGGCGCCCTGGGAGTGGACGGCCGTCAGCCTGTTCTCCAGGGTTCAAGGTGGTTCCAAGGAGCACCCAAGGCTGACAGGCGCTGGGCTCAGGGTCCCATTCAGAGCTGCCAACACAGCTCTGGGTGACGTGAAGGGACCATGGTCTCCAAGGACCCAGACCTGAGACTGAGCCAATGTCCCCACACCTACTCAGGGTGGAGACAGTGGGCACCAGCGTGGACGGTGACCAGTGACAAGGGGCTTTCTGTGGGTCCCACCATGGTCCTTGTGTTAACTCGGGGAGTTGGGGGGATTGAACCTGGGTAAGATCGCCCGGGCTCACAGGCGATGGCAGCAAACCCATGCCCTTGAGCACTTCTCCAAGGTGAGCGGGCTGGGGGGGGGCAGGAGGGGCTGTGGATGCTGGAAGTCCTGCGCCCTGGGAGGACACCCATCAGTCCCCTGCAGGGGGCCCGAGCGCCCTGCCCCCTCCCGCCCACCATGGCCCTCCTGCCTTCGTGGCCCCGGAGTTTACCCTCTCTCCCTTCTTCCCTTCCCCTCTCCACGGTTCCCCCTGAGCCAGGGCAGTGGCAGGAACAGGCAGTTTCTGGAGCTTCCCAGGGCCCCTAACTAGAAGAACCTGGGGGTGGTCTGCTGATGTCCCCAACCCGCCCTCTGATTCGGCAACCACTGCAGGTTCCTGGCTCTGCTGGAGCCCCAGGGCTCCCCGCGGGGGCTCAGGACAGGCAGTGAGTGGGGTGCTACAGGGCTGACCTGGTTTGTGCAGGGTGGCTCCTTACTGTGACCTTACTGTCAGGTTCTGTCCCCACAACAGTCCTACAAACCGTCACCTGCAAAATGGAGTTTGGCAACAAGAACAAGAGAACCTCAGACTGTCATCCAGGGCTTCGCTCAGATCACAGCAAAGTCCTTCCTACCGATGGATTTAACGGTGCAACCCCTAGGTCTCTACCCTTGCTCCTAGGGCCTGGGGTCCTCTTGCCTCTTCCAACTGGGATGAGGGGTGGCTGAGAGCAGGGAGGCGGGTCTCTTCTGTTAGCTGCTTTGTTGTCTCAGCATCTAGATATGCGTTTGCCCCCTCACCGTGTTTGTTGATTGAATAAGTGAAAACTCGTTTCCGTTCTCCTCTGAGGGTGCTGACTTAGTTTACGTAGTTACATTTACTTCCTTTGTGATTATGTAACAGTGTCCACTTTCTGATCTGAAGGCAGCCCTTGCTGCTTTGCCACGGCAACTGCTTTTTAAAATGGACGTTTCTTTCTCTTCCTCTCTCCCTGCTCTTCCCAAATCTCTCCCTCTTCCTCATCTCAAGGGATACACACCATGACCCCCTTCCCCCATTTTAGGCAGAATTGTCTGTCCCTGAGCACACACCCACCAGAGGAACAGGTGATCTGGACTTGGGGGTGGCACCAGAAGATCTCAGAAATGACTCTCTCCCAAATTAACAAGAGAATCACAACTCCAGACGGAGGACACGTGGAATGGAGCCTTTGGGTCACCTCTTTAAAAAAGTCCCCTGTTCCTTCTGATGGGCAGAACCACAGCTTCTGGGACAGGAGTCCCCTGTGCCTCTCCTTTGCTAGCAAAGCAATAAACCTTCTTTTTCTTTTTCTCAAAACTGTGTCCTCGTTATTAGATCGGCATCGGGGACGAGGACGGAGCTTTCTCAGTAACAATTATGTTTATGTTAAGCATGAAATTTACCCCAAGCTTAGAACAACAAAGTCCGATAGGGAATCCAGCCTAGGATCGTTGCCGTGTTGCTTTTGGATACTATGCATTCCCCGTGTGGCTTGGGGCTCTCTGGGGAAGGGTGCTGAGTCCCCATATCAGGGAAAGGTGGGGGGGCTTTGTTGGGAGGATAGGAGTATCTCAGAGGCTAAAGAAGAGTTGCAAAAACGGAACAGAGACGGCACCAAAGAAGTTCTCAGGCTTGGGGAAGCAGGGAGCCTCTCCAGTCCTTTGAAGTGGCCGAGTGCAGTGTGACTCTCTGCCCAGGTTGGGCCATGTACCTAATTCTTGGGCAGAGGAGGAAAATCCCACCAAGCTTGCATCCAATGAGTGGTTCTCAAAGCCAGACGATGTCACTCTGCATGAACCGATCAAGGGCCCTGATGTGTTGGGCTCTCCTTGCTCCTGGATTTCAGCTCTCTGAAGCATCTGGGGTGGGGGTGCAGGACCAGCAGGTTGCATAAGAAGGCATGACCTTGTGGAATATCTTTGGGTTTAGAAATTCCAGGTCAATCTGTTCTGGAGGCAGGTCCATTGGTCTGGGAGTAGGAAATAGCCAGCAAGCCATTAGTGCATTCAGAGCAAGAGCCCAAGGCAAACAGTGGAGCTGATTGTAATGAGGACCAACTGCTGTAATCGGTATGGGTTAGGTTATGCTGCTGTAACAAAGAAAGCTTAAAATGTCAGTGTCTCAGTGAAGTGGTGGTTTATTTTCCACTCACAAAAGTCCTCCAGGGTTTCAGCTGCTCTCCAGGATGGCTGTCTTCCTGCAGGGACTTGATGACCAAGGTTACTTAAGTCTGTAGTTTTGTTATTTCTATGTGTGGCTTCTTGGCCACTGTTCTTTTCCTTCCAAATGGAAGTGCTATATTTCTGCTCAGTCCCTTGGCCAGCCTTCCCCACGTGGCCTCATGCCGAGCAGAAAGGAGGTTGGGAAATGCATGAGTCCAGGTGGGACATTGGAGGGACTCTGTCTTCCACATGTTCAGTGACGGATGCGCTTCCCAGCCGTCAGGGCCAGGCCCGTGGTAGGTGGACCTTGAAGGAGGTCATGCTGACGAACCAGCAGCTGATGAGGGGAAGCTGCCGATTATGAATCTGGAGACATTTTATTTGGTCTCTGCACTGGCCTGGGCTATCCTAGCACCATTGGAGAAAAGGAGTTGGCACCGGCTAAATGATGAGCTCCCTGCCCGGCACCCTCCGCACCCCGCATTACGTCTCCAGCACTCTGTTGAGAGTTGTGTGCATTTTACAAATGAGGAAACAGCCCTGGAGGAATATGATTTCTCTGAGGGTGTGCAGATTAGGAGAGGCACAGCTGGAGGCTCCCAAATCCAGAGCCCTGGCGTCTCTGCTGCACCATGGAGCCCACAGAGCCGTGGCAGGCGTTGCAAGAGTCTCTTCTACTGAGTGAAAACCATAACCTTGACGTTGTGATGGTGGTGATGGGAGGAAGAGAACAGCCACTCCTACGACCACTTAGGCGGTAACTGGAGGCATCTGCTACAGGTCAGGCATTCCTGATCCAAAAATCCCAAATCCAAAATGCTGCAACATCTAAACCTTTTTGAACACTGATGTGAGGGCACAAGTGGAAGTCCTGCACCTGACCTCATGCGACAGGTCACAGTCACAACGCAGGTGCCCCGGCAGTATGGTAGAAAGTCACCTTCAGGGTACGTGCCTAAGGTGATCCTGAAACAAATTTGAATTTCATGTTTAGTGTGTGCAAATATTCCAAAGTACACAAAAATATCTGAGCAGGGCTTGGTGGCACACGCCTGTCATCCCAGCAGCTCCGGAGGCTGAGGCAGGAGGATCGTGAGTTCAAGGCCAGCCTCCGCTACTTAGCTAGGCCCTGAGCAACTTAGTGAGGCTTTCTTTCCAAATAGAATACAAAATAGGGCTGAGGATGTGGCTCAGTGGTTAAGCACCCTGGGTTCACTCCCTGGTACCCCCCTCCCCCAACAAAAAAACATCTGTCATCTGGGCTACTCCTGGTCCCACGCGTTTTGGATCAGGGATCTCAACCCATAGTACCTGCTGCTAAATCTGAAATCTCGCT